TATCTCTGTTCAGAAGCATGACAAAATGTTGGCTCTTTTTTTCAAAAGATGCTCCGTCGAATTTTCTACAACCTTCCATTTACCTTAATTTAGAACAAATAGAAGTGAACATTTTTATAGGTCACATAGTGTAATTATGTGAATTGAGCCTATTTCCCATACATATTTTAGTGATTTATTCTTTTCTTGAAAATGAATATTGAGTTCTTAGGCTGTGGTTTACTGTTAGACAGCTCTTCAAATCCCCTGTCAATTATTCATATATATGAAGCGTTTTCAAAGAAAGCATTCTAGAAATCTCACTCATCACCAAAACCGTCTCTTCTTTTGTAGTATTTTGTAAAAAATTCATTGGTTTTTCTGTGAAAAGTCCCTAGTAACGCGTGAAAAAGGAGCTCAGCTAGAAGAAGAATTTGAATAGTGCAAACAAGGTGGTTTTAGTCGTAACAAATCAGATAGGTTATAGTTTTTAGACAAATATGCATTGTGATCAAACTAATCATAAATAATTCTAAAAGAGCATATGTTTGAGAAGTAAGCACAATTCACATAATTACACTATGTGGCCTATAAAAATATTCACTTCTATAGTTCTAAATTAAGGTAAATGGAAGTTTGTAGAGAATTCGATGAAGTATCTTTTGAGAAGAAAGTCAACATTGTTTCATGCTCCTGAACAGAGATACATGCAGAATAAAAAAAATGTCGTAAAACTTTTGCCACACCAGGTATGTTTTATTTTATTTACTTGAAAACTTTGAATCATAAGTATTGATAGATTGAAATAACTGTTTTTCTTTATTTGATTCTTATTTTACATAGATAAAAGCATCAATTGTAGCTCAAAACGTCGTTAAAATGCTTGCCGTTGTTCAGAATGTAAATGAAATATTAAAAAACAAAATTTTCCTTCATGTTTATTATATAAATAATTAAGATTAATAAATTTCAAATTTTTCAAATCAAACAAAATATAAGAAAGTGTAGAGTACATTTTTTCGTTGGAAGATTTCTGGTTGAAACTATCCCATGTGATGTCTAATGAACAATTTATACAAATGAAATCAGTTAGATAATCATCTACGAATAATGTCAAATCTGTTTAATTCAATCATTTGTCAAACTCAATCTTTTCAATCAGTATTCAATGAATCGAATATCTACACTTGTAAAAGTTGATGCATAACGAGTAGATCAAATACAACCGATCGTTTTTATACTCTACTTTTAAAATTTGAAGAAATACTTTTAAGCTCTCCTTTGAATCTGTTTCAATAGAACATTTCTCACTATATTTTTCAAACATAATTATCTTGTTTGTATATTCGTTAATCGACAAATATTTAATCGATTGGATAAACGTAATGAGTAAACAGGATAGAACGATTGAGAAAAATTTAAACGAAACTTAACTGGCATCACGTAGACTCAAATGAGCTATGAATATCTTAGAAAGAATTCAGGTCCTTCGCTTACCACTGCGATAGATTCAATGCTCTTAACGCAGCAATAACCAATAATCCCGAATCAAAAGCAATTAATCAGTTGAAAGATTTTTCTTGTGAGCCCCAATTTAGTTGCACATAATGCATATTCGAACACTCGAAAGATGATACTTGTAAAGAAGTTTTCTTATTTTACTTGTTTTTAGTTCGGAATTCAATATCTCTAACATCAGATTTGATAAGCATAAATTGATATGAATTGATAAAAAGTTTTTAGGATTAAAAAAAAACTACTTATGAAATTGAGAAGATTTATACATTCCTTATTTTCTTGATGAGGATGATGCAAATTATTAACGTGTATGAGAATATAATAAAACAAATATGATTAATAGTTTTTTAGTTATTCGGTTTGATGATTTTCTTTTATCCTTTTTTTCTTTCTTTTTTTTCTTTGTTTCTTCATAGATTATAACAAAACACACTAGCCCGATGTGTTCAAAACAATAATAATAACATAAAAATTAAAAGAATAACATATATATTCGACAATTTTTGGTTATCATTATATTGTGTTCGGGCAGTGAGATATTGATTTTAACGATTTGATTTAGCAACACGTTCAAGTTCGTCTTTACGTTTGATGGCAAATGATGTTGACGAACCCTAAATAAATAAGAAATAAATATTTTTAATTTATAATCAACATAAAAATTCTTTGTTGAAGTCGCCTATCAAATAATAATTCTAATAATTATCATTTGCGAATTAACAAAACTTCGAGAAAATTTAATTTTGCACACGCCGACGTTCAAAACCACAGTAAATATATGATGGTATGACTTCTAATTGTGTGCCTTTTTTCAAAATCTATTATATTTATATAGATATATTCGAATACATACTTTAGCAGCATTGATAAGTTCATCGGCAAGACATTCGGCGATTGTTTTTACCGATTTGAATGCAGAATCACGTGCACCTCAAAAATTAAACAGTTTAAAATTTTTCGATTTGATTGCTTTTTTTAAAATTTATTTATACCTGTGCAGAGTAAATAAAGTGCTTGATTAACACGTCGTAATGGTGATACATCGACAGCTTGTCGTCGAACAGTACCAGCACGACCAATACGTGTTGAATCTTCACGTGGTCCACTATTAATAATAGCATTAACGAGCACTTGAAGTGGATTCTAAATGATAATTTTCTTTTAAAAGATATTTTTGTTTTTCTTTTGTTATGTATTACTTCTCCTGTAAGTAAATGAATAATTTCAAATGTATGTCGTACAATACGAACAGCCATTAATTTTTTGCCATTATTACGTCCATGAAACATCAATGAACATACAAGACGTTCAACAATTGGACATGAAACTTTTCGAAAACGTTTTACTTGAAAACGACCAGCTGAATGTGGAAGAAATTTCGGTTTTTTAGCACCAAGAATATAATCCTAGAAACGAAATGATAGACTTATTTGCAGATGAATTAAATTCAATTTTACTTCAAGTGACATATCCGAAATTTGTATTTCAGCACCACTCCATTTTCCGAATACTCGAATATCGGTTGCTGTTGTTTCTAAAGCTGTATCATCGGTTAACATTAAATCAGTCATGTTGGTAGATTTTGTTTTCTCTCTTCACGAGACTGAAGAAACGAATCTACAAACTTAAATTTCATGAAAAAATAGTCCTTTCGTAATAAAAAAAAAAATAAAATAAATATTGTTTGTTGTTTTCTTTTTCTGTGTTTTACTTAAATGTAAAATGGTCTCTTTCATAGCCATATTCAGTTACATGTTTTAAAGCCTTCATCTTCGTTCGTTTCATTTTTCCAATTGGATAAAAGACATTTCTACGGTGATTGGTTAATACGGACACATCCAGAAAATACTTTTGCTAATGAGTTTTGAATGATGGATGTCAGAATAGGACGACGAAGAACAAAAAAAAAAGAATATGATGTGAAGAAATTGTCAAAAGGAGAAAAAAAGTTATCCGTGTCCTTACATTAATCAATCAATTATATAATTGATCTTGTCAGTTATTTAACTAAACAAAATAAAGATTTGACTTGTGATCTATTTGGATTTATGAAATAATCTTTTTTTCTGGTTTTTGAAAAACGAAAATTTGATAAATAAATGAACATAATGATTTGATGGATGATATTTAGTCAGATTCTAGACATGATTTATGAAGTGGCACCTCAATAAAAACTGCACGCTGCCATTTCCTCTTTTCTTATTTCTTCTTCACAAATGGCAGTTATGTTCAAGCTTATAGTTTAATTGAATTAATAATGTCACTCTTCACATCATCATTGATTAATTTCTCTTGGGATCGGAGGTGGTGGCAAGAGAAGACTTTTATAAGCACTGATGTCAAACATAGATGTAATATTCAGCAATTGCTTTTGCGTGACACGCACTATAGTTTTATGGTTTGACTAGAGGTTAAAGCAAAAAAGAAAAGAAGAGAGAAGAATAAGTAATTCTTGACGTTTGATGTAATCTTTGTATATAGCAAGTTGATCGATCGACTAATGCATGAAGACAAAGAGAGTCAACGGGACGAACGACTTGACTCGATCATCTATACAAATTTTTTTTTTTTTTGTACATATATTTAAGTAAAGAGAACAGAGAGAAGGTCATAGAAAATTTATTCCTATTTGTCAGACACATATTCGAAATGTCTACATACCAGCAGCAGCAATATCGTACATCTCGTGGTAATAAAATTCTCATTAGCTTTATCTTTTAATCATAAAATTTTTTTCATTATTCTAGAATATATTGCTTTAATACCATTAGAAAAAACTTCGATTATTAATAAAGTTTCTATAGAAAGACGAAATATTAAAGATACAAAAGATAATAATATTCTTTATATTAGTAATGGATCAAATGTTAATTTTATTATTTATAAAAATGATGCTCAACTAAGTAAATTTAAAAAGAAAAAAAAAAAACCTATTTTTTCCTTTTTTTTTTTGGAAAATAATTTTTATTTTGTAAATTAGTACAAGAAGATAATGAACCAATTCAATTTTCAACTCAATTTAAAGTTTTTATGATTGATAGACAAACAAAAAAATTACATCAAGAAAATCGAACAATAAATTTTTGGTTTCATAATCATTTTAAACAAAATCAATATGTTGATGATACAAATGAATTTTTACGTATATTATTTAAATCTGATGAATTTCCTCGAGGTTAGGAGAAAAAACAAGTTAATTTTATGACATTTTTTTTTCTCTAGATTATTTTTCATTCATTAAACAATTAATGGAATTATTAAGGTTATTTTCAAGTATAAGAAAATTAGAACTTGAAATTCAAACATTGATTGATAGTAATCAACCGAGTATGTTGAATTCTATATCATATCTATTTTAAAAGGTAGTATTTTCAAATATACTTTACTAACATAAACAATATGATAGATTAGATATTCAGATAAGTGGTTATCTTTCATAATTGATAATTGATTTGTTTCTCATTTAGTATATGAAAATAATCTTCAACAAAATGCTGATTTAGTCAAAGAGAAACTTTTAGATTTACTTGAACAAGCATTTCCTAATCCAATGTTTGTTAATGATTTGACAAAGTAAATGATAAACAATCTATGTTTTGTCAAAGAGTAATCTTTTTTTTTCGTTTACAGATATCTCGAGTGTGACGGTCATATAGTATTTCAATATCTTAGTGAATTAGAAGATAAAAATCTTGTTAAACACCTTGATCATAGTAGTCAACAATGGACACGTGTTATTATATCAGCTGAAGAAGAACATACTCATAGTTCGTTAAATAAAAATCTTTCAATTTTAAATATAATCTTTTATTTATTTTATTTTCTCTTTTATTCAGAAGTTATTCTTTATAAATCAATTTCAGAATTATCAAATTCATTACGTCCAACAATTGCAATTATAACAGTAAATTATTTTGAAAAATTAGCAGTTGATGCTATGATTGAAAATAAAGTTACATTCGTACGACATAAAGCAGGTAAATAAAAATAATTATTATTGAATTATTATCGAACATTTTTGTTATAGGCGAATCAAATGTTTATACAATTGGTACAATTGGTAGACATCATGTTGTTTCAACAAAATTACCATTAATTGGTCGAAGTCGAACAGCACAAATTTCAACTGGTAGTACAACTACTCGATTATTAGGTACTTTTCAATATGTACAACATGTTTTTATTATTGGTTGTGCTGGTGGAATTCCTCATTATACTGATGCAAGCAAGCATATAAGACGTGGAGATATTATAGTTGGATATCCAAATGAAGAAGATTATGTTTATGGTAAATATTCTTTAGTTATGACAGTCACTCACATCAAGTTAGTTTCATGTCGATTGTATCAACTTATAAATGAGAGTATTTCTGTATGCATTTAGTAAGTGTTGAATCGATATTAGTTTATCATCAATTGGTATGCAGGTGTATATCAACATATAGATGTAGTAAAGATGACATTTCCAATGTTGAGTACATATGTCTTCTTTTCTCATCGAGATAAAAGTTCATTATTATCAGTTGTATAGTGATTTAGTCGTTGTTCGACCTCTTTCTTGCATCTAAGATAAATAAGATTATTCCCTGAAGATATTATCTTTCTTGACTTAAGCATATATAATAATATACATATGCGAGTGCGTATCATGTCTGTAGCGTAGTGATCAATCATTGATGAACAAAAAAAAAAAATTATTGGTTATACAGTTTGATAGATGAATTGAAGAACTATAAAGGACACACACACGTTGTTTTATTTTTTAAGTCAATAAAAGATTAGAGTTCAATACTTCTTCTTGATTCATTTAATGGTAAAAAAAATATTGATCTGCATTACGATTGATTCAATCATGCTTTTTTCATTTGTTTCTTTTTTTACATAAGTGAACTTTTTTTCTAGGTGAATTAACCATCTTCTATTATATTCGCTTCTTCTGTTTCAATAACACAATGAATTCTTGGTCTTAATAGACAGTTAACATTATAGCTTTCCTCCCTATGTTGAAGAATTCATTTCAAAGGTGCTGAAAGCATCGATCATAGATCTCTCATTTTTGATCTGAGCAAGTTCCATATATTTCTGAAAGAGTATCTGGGAATTTTAAGTCTACCACAACTATTGCTCTACTTATAAAGATCTATCTGCTTCGAAAGCTTCATCATATTTCGTCTAGTCATCCCCGAGAAATCTTACAAAGAGGACTCTCCTTTATTATCTAGTTAATGGCTGTAAAAAAAAAGTTTATTAATATATTCTAACGAAACTATGTCTGATGTCTGTAGTTATTTAAGTTGAAAAATAAATTCTTTGCGTTCTTTTTTTGTTTTTTATAGGTATTTATGAAGCTGAACAATCTGCTGAAGGTTATGAATTTGTTTCTACCTGTTATAAACCAAAAAGTTTTCAACTTTATCAAGTATTAGAATCTATAAAAGAAAATTATCACCAAACAAATTTAAATAGATCATCAACACATAAATATCCATGGGAAAAATTTCTTAAAGACGGTATAGAATATTTACTTTCACATAATATTGATTGTTTACCACCATCTAATGATTGTCTTTGTATTAAAACGAAAAATAATGAAATAATAGAAATTGAACATCCAAGTAACGAAAAAAAAGATTATTTACGACCAATAATACGTTTTGGTATGATAGCAGGTGGAAAAAATATTTTAACAAATGATTATTTTAAAATAACACTAAGTGATAAATGTAATGTTTTATGTTTTGATTCTGAAATTGATCAAGTTATTGCAGCTATACAAGGTAATCGTATTGAATCATTTATGATTATACGTGGAATATCAGATTATCATGATGGAACTTTAAATAAAGAATGGCAACCATATTCTTCTTTATGTGCCGCAGCATTTATGAAAACAATTATTTATAAAATTCCAAATAATTTATATGCTCATTCTAATAGTCAACATGATGATGATGATGATGATGATGACATACTTTAGAGAATTGTATACATTCCAATTGTGTTTTTCAAATAGTCTCTTATTTAATTTGTTTGATAGATTTAAATAATAATAGTATATTTCTAGATGATATATGGGTAGGAATCGGTATGATAGTAGACGCCGTCCAGTAGTTATTTTGGACGCTGGCTATGTATCAATAGACACAAACGATATATATACATCATCAAAAATAATTGGTTTACATGGAAAAAAATTAATTTGTGTTATTTCAACAGTATTTTTTTTGTTTTCAATTAGTTTTATTAATTTAACAGTAAGTTAAATATGTAAAATCCTTATCTCGAAGTTATCAAATGAGAGAAGATGAGTTTTCGAATACTAACTGGATGAAATGCAATTAGTGTCTCTTTTACCGAACTCATATTTGAAGAGACATGCAAACGTCTCTATTCATCGAAATACAATCTTCGAAAGAATAGATTCTGGCCTGCTTTAGAACATGCTCAATAGGCGTGTAATTTTAATCATCGAAGACGAAAGAAAAATTGTAGCATAATCTAACTAATCTAGCTCAGATTTTTCATACAATCCTTCTCCACTTGTAATGAACGATTTCCACTTTAAGTCATTGTCGATGTATGATACAATATTTCTTCAAAGAATGTTTTCTAAGCCTCTATTAAGTGTTTGAGACTGTCCTAACCTATGAAATGTTCCACCGAAATCTTGTAGCTCTACTCACTACTGATTGGATTAATTTAAAATAAAAATAAAATATTTTATTTTTTAATTTTTAAGTGTCTTGTTTGGATTATGTATAAACTTGATTGGTCACCATTTCATAAAAATGGTTCACAAATCTTTCAATTTGATAAAATAAATCATCAAGTCGAATTGTATAGTCAAGCAATGATTGATGACACAATTTATACAACTAAAATAGACGACTCATTAGATGTTGATTTATTATCTGAAAATCAGGTTAATAAAAGATTATTGATTTTAGTAAATAATATCGTTTTTTTTTTATATTTGATATAGATTGATATTTATGGTGATCATAATTCGATTTTATTTGATGATAATCTAATATCAATGAATACGGAATGTTTTCATATGAATCATGAATCATTTGTAGATTTTTATAAACTTGAATCATTTAAATTTGATGAGAACAGTAGAACCAAAATACATCTTGATCATATCAATTCAAAACAAGTATGAAAATATTTTTTTTGACTAGATGGGTAAGATTGATCTAGAGAGATAATGATGCAGCTAAATCGATCAGATTAAAAATTTACTTAATCTCAGTGATCAAGTACATAGAAACGATTCAGTTTCTTGATATGATCTAAATAACTCATTGAGTAGTATGCTGGTTTCATGAGTCTGTGGTGTATTCTTTCAATAGATCTTCTGTCACGATGTTGAATTCAGTTCGTAAAAATTCATTTATCTATGAATCCATTAGACATGTTCAAATAAAATAGTAGACACATCCAATTACGGCTATGAAATCACAAGCCTAACTTATACAACTATTTCAATTTGATATCGAAATAATAATGTTTTAAAAGAGAAAAGAATTTGCTTCATTTTTTTAATTTGGACTATGATTAGTGTAAATTCAGTCTTTTTCTCATACAGCTCTCTATGTTAGATTCAATTGTCTATATCCCAAAAAACTAGCTATTTGTTTGATAACAGTGTCAAACATCATCTTTTATTTTTATTATACGTTTCATCATTCAACAGTATTCTGTGACTTGATGAATCAATCAGTAGATGCATATTGTACTTATAAAAGTTGACTAATTCTAGTGTTTATTTAATAATACTATAAATTTCTTCAAGTTTATTTGAATACAAAATTTAATTTGTCATTAGAAATTGAACTGGAATGATATTTTACCATTTATTATGAGCTTTAATATTGACTATGTTGCAAAAACCTTCAATCCCATGAGCAAGCACAGTGATTTTAACAGTATATGTTTTAAATGTTTTGTTTTTCTGTCTAAGTTTGATTGATTTGATAAAATTGAATTTCGTTATTGATTTATTTAGATTCATAGTAAATATCTTAATATCACTACAAATAATTATTTAACGACTACCAATGTGAATCAAGTTCTTTTCTCTGGTCAAAATTTAACCATAGAAGCAAATAGAAATAATCGTCGATCGATATTACGTTTTGGTAATTATCCACGAAGAAAAAAATCGTTTACTCGTCAACAAGTAATTTTATTCGACTTTCATTCTTAAAAATCTTTTATCTGTTGCCTTTTATAGAAAACATCATATGGAAATATAGATTTTAAAATTGATTCTATATTTCTTGATTTACCACAATTACCCTTAGTAGAAAATACATATCGCAGTGAATCAAGTATCTATCGTATATGTATTTGTAATACAACATTTTTAATTCTATGGAGTTTTGCTCATCAACCATGTCCTCTTTGTTAACAAGTATACATCCTTTTCTCAGGTGCTATGCATATATATATAAATATATATATGTTGGTGCTTTCTTTTTTTCTTCTTTTTAGTATTGTATTTCTATATGTTGTATGTTTTTTGTTGTTCGGATTTTTGAACGAGATAAACATATCGTACATAGTGTGTTTAATCATCATTTTTTCTCTTCAAAATTGATAACCTAATTAAAAAATTTTGGCCTTTTTTTGTTAATATGTGCAATAAAATTATAAATAATTTTTTGATTCAAGAATATGCAAGCATATTTTGTATAATTAACTAGAGAAGTTGATAATTTGACTAACTAAATCATTGATGAATATTTTGCCTACATACAGAACCTCTACATTTATGGTCTTATAGATGTAATTAGATTACATAAAGCAAGAACTGAGTCTATTTAACAGTAGAAACCATAAAGATACAAAAACTAAACCATAAAAGTTGAGGAAATATAAAAACATGGTGAGTATTTTCTAGTTGGCCTTTGCTGACACTTTCGCAATAGTTGAAAATTATTCGTTATTGCCCAGTAAGATGAGCAACATTTTTTTAAAAATTTTACTAACCCTGTGAGACATTTTCTGTTGGTCTCTATTTGTACAACATGAGACAGAATGAGTTTTTAAATAATTTTTGACGATTTTATTAACAATTAGAAATGAATTGTTTATTTTCGAAAAAAAATTGCCTGTGTTAATAATGTGATCATTAGTCTCAATATTGTTTTTTTTTAAGTGAAATCTTTCATGTATAATAATTTAGACTAAAATTTTGTTTATTAGATTATATTTATTTCGCTGAATAGAATGAATACAAATATTGCATTGATTAACGAATCAGGGAACGTAATCATATTTGAAAAAAAAAAACATAGATTAATCATTTATCACGAGCACTTGAGACGCTTATACTTGTTGATAAATGGATAACAGTCATAGTTTAAGTCATTTAAAAAAAAAAAGCAGGAATGTATTATTTAATGACAACTAGTTGCTTGACTGTCATAGTTGTACGGCTATAGAAAAACCTAACGATAACAGTATTCGAGAAACAACTAACGTCGCCTGTTGATATAATTATAAATTAACAATCGATGCTTAACTCCTACTTGCGACCTCTCTCAACTGATCAGTTGTCAAAATAAACCAAAATATGACTATTATAGACAAAAAAACGTTTTAAAAATATGTTAGCAAATTTTATAAATCTATTTCTATTTTATCTATATTTTGAATAAGCAAAAAAAATGAAATATTGATTTTTGATATTGATTCTACTGCTTTTTATTTCATTGGATCAAATAATGCTTTTTGATAGCTATTTTCTATTTTGCCAGTAATATATTTTCTTTTACCATAAATTCACGGTGATTAAGTATTCAATGCATATTCATAATATTGTACAATTTTTTTTTATAGATAAAATCAACAAACAATTGAAGCCAAATGACCCACATAGAGCTAACACATAAAGATCGGGCATTTGCTGCTACGGCTGGAAGTTAGTATTAACAAAAGAAGAAAAAAAAACATAAGTTTTGTTTTATATATAGTATCTGGAACACCTCGTACTACTCCACCTGCTACACCACCACGAAGTAGTAGTGACGTGGATCTGCGTTCCAATGAAGGACTTTCATTACCACGATCAGCATATTTGATCATATTTGTTGAAGGATGTGAACGTTTTTGTTATTATGGTCTTAAAACAGTTTTGCTTCTTTATTTCATGCATTTTATTCACTTAAATAAAGATTCGGCAACATCAGGTTATCATTTATTTTCATTTGCATGTTATTTTACACCAACTATTGGAGCTATTATATCGGATGGTTTTATTGGTCGTTATTGGACTATTGTCATTTTATCACTTGTTTATTTTATTGGAACAGTGGTTTTAACAGTAACAGCAGTACCAGCTATTGGTGGCAAAGAATTGTACGATTAGTTTTGATTATTGAATATATATATATATAGATTGTTATATTTGTAGATTTGGACCAGCAATCGGTTTAGCATTAATTTCTTTCGGAACAGGTGGTATTAAACCGTGTGTTAGTGCTTTTGGAGCCGATCAAATATCACTGACCAATGTAAAATATCAAAGAAAGAGTTATATTTAGTTGTAGTTTTTTGTTTTCTAGCCGAGAAGATTAAGTCGATTTTTTGCTTTCTTCTACTTTGCAATTAATTCTGGTTCATTACTTTCGACTATAATAACACCAATACTTCGAAGTAATTTAGAAATTTTTTAATTTTCAATCGTTTTATTTTGTTATTTATCTATTTAGGTCAAGTTCATTGCTTTGGTTATGACTGTTATACATTAGCTTTTGGTGTTCCATCATTATTAATGTTAATAGCTATTAGTAAATATTTAAAAAAAATTTTTTTCTTAAATTTTCATTATTATATTTTCTAGTAATATTTATTGCGGGTACATCATTATATAAACGTGTTCCACCAAAAGAAAATATAATTGTTAGATTTATAGCTGTTATTTTGGTAAATACGTAGATTATTTGTAACTATTTATTTATTTGTTATTATTTTTTATTGACAGCGAGCAATACGAAATGCAATATGTCGCTCATCATCAGGACCAAAAGAACACTGGATCTATTATGCTGACGATAAATATAGTGTATGGATAAAAAAGTCTTAGGATAGTTTAGCTATTGAGATTTTGATAGAAATATTTTTTTTTCAAAATGAAATAAGTAAGAGTATTCAAATCACAACGTTTGCTTATACAGACTAAAAGAAATATTATAAAAGGATCGATATTTAGAAAGCTACCTTATTAGACTCTTAATTTATTATCGAATTTCTAATTTTAGTTTACAATTTTTCGCGAGACATAACCAGAGAAAAAAAAATTGTTTACATAAAAAATCGATACTTTTGGTTAATGTTCCTAAACTAGGAGTGAGGAAAAGAAAAACGATTGTAAAAGATTCCAATGAGTGATTTTTCAAATAAATAAAAAAATTTTCAAAATTGTCAAAAAAGTTGAATAACTTATTTCTTTAAGCTCTCGCTATTGTTGCTAACAATTTATTTAAACATTAATCTATTCATTTTAGACTCAGGATATGGACGATGTTCGTTCTGTTCTTAGTGTTTGTCTTTTATTTACTCCAATTCCAGTTTTTCATGCTTTATTTAATCAATCAGGTTCACGTTGGACATATCAAGCATCATTAATGAATGGAAGTCTTGTATGTATATTTTCACAAAACAACTATTATTAATAATTAAACGATAAGAAAAGTGTTGTTTTTCTTTCGAATAATTAGGGCCCATTAGGTACAATACAACCTGATCAAATGCAAGCATTAAATAGTTTATTCGTACTTCTATTCATTCCACTTTTTGAAGAAGTTATTTATCCAGCATGTGCTCGTTGTAATTTTTTAATAAGGTAAAATGATTTGTTAAAAATAAACAGCGAAAAAAACTTTCTGAAAAAAAAAATATATTATTTTAGACCTTTACAACGAATGTTTCTTGGAATGATTGTTATGGTGTTTGCTTTCATTGCTGCAGGCATTATTCAAATAGCCATTCAAGTATGATCATTTCGTTTTCTTTTTGTTTTGTTTTCTATAAATTTATTCTCAATATATTAATTTCAGTCAAAAGCAAATGCAATTCCAGTTCGTTTTCATACACAAATATTTAATAATTATGATTGTGCAATAAATATTAATTCTAATTATTCACTCGAACCGAAAAAAGCAAGTTCTATTGTTCCATTTTTGTGTTTAACTTAAACATAAGAAAAAATTTTCTTATGCTTATTTATTTAGATTTTTGAATTTCCATGTAAACGATTACTTAAAGAAGGCTTATCAGTAAGTTCAACATGTAATCAAGCTAATGTTGGTTATAAATTATTCACTGATGAACTTTGTCCATCACTTTTAATTATATCAGAAATTGATGATGAAGCTCGTGGAAAAACAATGGCAACAATACCAGTAAAAAATGAACTGTACCTATCATTATTTTTATTTAAATTGAATTTGTTTTTTTTTTAGTTAGGAAACTCCATAACAGAGCAACGTGGTGTTAAAGAATTTGCTCTATTACGGTAGATAAATTTAAATTAACTTGATATTTCTTTTTACAATTTTTTAAAATTTTAGTGTGGTTTCATTGGATGGTAAACAAACAGTTGTAACAACATTACCAAATGAATATAGATATGATATTAAAAAGAAATTATTTCCAACAGATTATAAAACTGTTCTTTCAGCAAGGTTGTTTTATTTTTTTTTTTTTTTATCGAATTTTTCCAAATATTTTGCTGGTGTTGTTAATAGATATCATATTGTGAATCAGGCTAATGGACAAAAATCAGCGGAAACATTTGAAACTTTGACAACAGGGGTTTATACCGTACTTATTTATAATACAGAAGATTCGAAGGTTAGTTGAATTAAATAAAAAAAAGTAATCTATTAAATTGTCGAGAAAATTAGTTTTTAAAGATATCCATATTTTTGTTATTTGATTTCAATAGTTCGTTCCTAATGTGATAGAAATAATATACGATAGATTTTTATTTCTGATTCTTTTTAATTAAAGTTACTATGATCTGTTAGTTTCTAAGAAAAAGAAAGTCAAAAGAATCTTCTTTCTAAAATTATTCGAATAATTTTATAGATCTATAGCATAAGATAATATTTCAAACCAGGATATATAGACTGCCCAGAAAGTCGTTGACCAAAAAGACAGAGTGATTGATACATTTCTTCAAACCAATTAATTTGTCCCTTATCAAAAACTTTTATGAAAAATAAACAGAGTAAACTGACACGATCTTAATGTTTTTATGAGTCTTAGACTTAAGATCAATGTGTCTAATTTGTTAAAGATTTCGAATAAATCTTAATGAAGCAAGAAGCATATGTTTGAATGACTGAAAACTCACAATAATGAAATAGAATTTAAACGAAAATCCTACATATTATTTTTTGCAATTTCAAAAAGACTTTATTGTATATTCAACCTGAAAATGCTATTTTGTACGAGTATTTGAGTTTACTTGTAAAAAATTTATTTTATTCGAATGAAAAAGTTTATAGGACAAAAATCATGTATGTACTTGGTGTAAGCCGTTTAATTCTGTAAATCTTTTTGATTATTGAATATTATACCATCCATAATTACCTATACGATGAGATTCTGAAGTCGAAAGTGAGATAGATTAGTTAAGAATCATTATTTACAATGTCACTGCTTTCTCATAGTTCAGTATAATAACATGTCATGTTATTTTCTACTTTGTTGAGTTGTGAACTCATTTCTTAGATATCAGCTTATATAATCTTAATGAAGTCTGTCAAGTTCTAATGTTATACGTTGTTAGATGACAACATACTTCTGATATTATTCTAATTTTTATCTTATTCGTTGACTCGATGGCTATGTTTTTATTTAGTATGACTTCTGAAACTGAAGAAAAAGACAAAAATTCAATTAAATATTAAAGAATGCTTTACATAATATACTGATATAAGTGACATTTTCTGTTAGAGTAAATAGTATTCATTTATGTGTATTGATACTTATAAAATATTTTATAGCTAACAAGGGAAGGCATCCAAGTGTAACGCATCGTTTTGAATCAGATGTGTACTAGTTTGTAAAGCTTGATGAACTGATTCTTATGGTATAAAGTTTTCTTTTCCATGAAATCCTTGACTGGACAAAACCAGTTAATTCTACTCGTGGAAGATCACATTCAAGGCACTGAAGATTGAAGTTTCACATACATTAGCATGTGAGAGATGCAAGTTCATCATCAACCCTCTTACTTTTGGTTGTCCATTGTTATATAATAGACAAAAAAACTGCCCAACGATGGCTTACTCAGTATGTTACAATGTTGCTATCACTACACATATGCATTATCTACATATTGTGCTATGGCAGATATAAATAATGCTGAGATAGCATTTCTTAATACACCAGTAGTTTAAGTGTTGTCGGTTGCGATGACCTAAGTATGTGACTATCGATCTGCTTGTTCTTTCTTACATTTTACTACGAGAGATTCAGTATAAAAAAATGACAGTGATAAATCATAATGTTTACTCAGATTTATCAACGTTTATTCATAGCATCTTACGCAGATGATGCTTATGTGCAGTGATAGTAACATTGTAACATACTGAGTAAGACATTGTTGGACAGTTTTTTGTCTGTTTAATGTTCAGTGTTTTCGAATATGATCTCCTGTGAGTGGAATTGATTGTTTTTGTCTAGTCAAAGGTCCTATGGGAAAGAACACTTTATACCATAAGAATCAGCCCATCGAACTTTACAAACTGGTACACATCCGATTCAAAACGACGCGTTACACTTGGATACCGTCCGTTGTAAGATGAATTAGAGGTTCTGAACTATTGATCGCAATTTCATTAATTTCTATATATGATTATCATTGGAGTGCGACAATAAGATTTTGATTAACGAGTAGCGTGAAATTAGAAGTGTAAAAGAGTATTGAATATTGAAACGAAGTAAATTTAAGTAAACGTTTGTCTTATATAAATAAATGGGTTTTATGAACCAGTTTATATATCAATAGAAAAGAAGTCATTAAAAAAACTTTGTATATTATTTTGGCATACTTCAATATGTTTTTTTGTGTATCACGAAACATGATCCTATAATCGTCAATAAGTAATAAAATTGAGTAAATCAGCATCTAGCAATAATACTCAAAGCGAAGACAAATCACTTATTAACTCATGGAGTCTATGTTATACATGTCATTATTTTCATGCAAAAACAAAATGTAAAATTAATTGCTAGCTGTAATGGTAATAAATAATTCCTCTAACGAATAAATCGAACATCAATCGAGAAAATTCTAATAATTACAATTTCTTACATATCACAATAAATACAAAAATACAAAATATTTTAAATAAAATCTAATTAATAAATTCATCATTAATAGATATTCTAAAAGATTTCAGAATGACAAGTAAAGTTCATAATTTTGTTATTTTAGTTACATGTTGTTCTTATTGAAGATGTACCACCATTTACAGTACATATTTTATGGCAAACAATTCAATATATTTTAATGACTGCTGCTGAAATGCTTGTTAGTATAACAGGTCTTATATTTGCATATTCTCAAGCACCAAAACGTTATAAATCAGTAATTATGTCAGCATGGTTATTAACAACAGCTTTTGGTGATCTTATTGTAGTTCTAGTTGCTGAAGTTCGATTAGTCAAAGATCAAGTACGAAGAAAAATTCAATTGAAAGATGGAAAAAAAAAAGAAAAAGACAAGTTCAAATATTTGTTTTTTTCCTTTTAGGCTGGTGAATTTTTTCTATTTGCTGGTTTAATGGCTTGTGCAGCGCTTGTGTTTGGTGCACTTGGTTTACGTTATAAAGAAATCAAACCAACTGATGATGATTCCGAAGATCAACAATTAATTATTGACAAAACAGCTCCTGAACCTGAAGATGTTATTCCATTATCAAATTAAATATATAAGTTTATGTTTTTATTTAATCATTGTGCAATGAATCTCAACTTTCATTATTAATAGTGTTGTCTTGTATATCTATATGTATATTAGATTTTTCGTTTTCTAATTATCTAACAAAACGAATTGATATGACAAAACGAAAACTATTTACTTTATTAACATTTTATTTTTGTTGTCGTATAATAAACTAATATTTTAATAAATCAAAATATTAATCAAAAATTAAAAAAATTTTCTTATTTATTATTTTGAAGAAAGAAAAATAAAGAGGATAGACTGATGATTATTAGGCCAAATAGAAATATTCTTTTGGTTTTTTATTTATTATTTTCTTCAGCTTTTCTTTTATACACGTTCAATCTTTTTTTTTTTTAATGATGTTTTATAAAGAAACGAGAATATAACAATGACATATATGTTAATTGAGATTTTGTTTGTTATTCGTGAGAAATCGATCAAATTGAACGACGACCGACTCGTGGCAACATAATAATACGTTTCGTCAATTGTTCACTGTCTGGATGATGTTCTTTGGTTTGATGAAGTAATTTTTTTTGTTGATGATCATCATGTATATGTTGCGGAATATGGAATTTATGACGAGTATTACTAGTAAGTCGACCAAGAGCAGCAACATAATTCTTGAAAAATGGACTATAAAGCTTTGTTTGATCTTCGTCATCATTATCATCAAGCAGTGGTTGCGTGCTGCTGATTCGAACGAACGTGCATAAAAGCACAAAAAAGATAATCACTACAAAAGTAGACAAGATTGTCATACGAAAAACATGACTATGGTTTTCTTTTAAGATAATAGTCGGAAGTTTCTTTGTAATATGCATCTTTAACATTGCTGATTGCATGTATACAATCATTCTAAGTAAATACATTTCATGTCTAGTAGACACAATTATATATACTATTAACTAAAGTACTTGTTTAACATAAGTCTTGTTAGATGAAAGCTACTGAATAAATAAATAGTGTCATGTAGTAACTATTTTAGATTTAGTTATACATATTCCTAATGTTTTAGTTTGTTCGTTTTTTTAGAAAATAAAATTAGAAATCAGACAGAAAAACAATATTTGCCTTAAAGTGAATAAGACTGAATAACTTACATTTCATGAACCAAAATGTTGGTGAAACCATCATTGAATGATAGAATGAGATGATTAGTTCGTAAGAATAATAACAAGCAGAAGACAAATTTCAAGACTAATAAGTATGTATGTGCGTTTGTATGTGTGAGACCTTGGAAATTCAAAGTACTTCAGAAATAGAATCAGATAACAATATAAGAGAAATAGTTTTTTATAGATGAATGTGTATGAAAAAGCGTAGACTATGACGGACGTTCGCTCGACAGGTGTTTTAAAGATAGAGAACTAAATGGATTGTATAAGTTTTCTGAATGATTATCTCTTTTCTTATTTTCTTTTCATTGCTCTATTTTTTTTTGCTATCTATATTTTTTTTCCGACAAACTAGAGAAGAAAAAAAAAACGAGAAAGCAATACTTAAGACAAGTCTTTCTTCTCTTTTTGTTGGATATAACAGAAAAAGCAGCTCCTATTCCCAGTGGATAACTACTTCATATAACGAGAAAATAAAGGAAAATTGATGTTGTACTCTTCCATGCTATACCTGCATCCGGAACGTACCCAATCAATATCCGGTAGAAACCTTTTCTGTATTTATTACCAACATTGATACGTCATGAGTCTCAAGAGATATAATAGGGCCACATGTTGTATCTAATCGATTGATTATCTATTGTATTATCATGTACTAGATAATAGAAAGTACCAAGATATCATATTGATTTTTAGTACTTTTTGTTTTTTATTAACTAGATACAAGATTTGCTGATATGATATAATTTATTATCATGCTTTATGGATCAATATTGGGTTTCTTTTGTATTTTGTTTTTTTTTTTAAGTTTGATTAATATTAAAATTATTAATCAGCTGTCATCAAATTTTGTCAAATAATAGATTCGTATTGAGCAGATATGTGTATTTTTATTGTTTATTTCTTAAGGGAAATATTCTTTTACTTTTTTAAAATTGATTATGAATAGAATTTACAATCTCCTGTGAAATTCTTGTATATCTGATAGTCAAAAATTAATAACAAAACTTACACAATGAGAATTATTTCTTTTGTGCATTTCATATGAAATATGAACGGCATGATCTATTGTCACAATAAGGTTACAAAGAAAAGTTGCGTTAGACAATAAATGTACATATCTCAATGTATTCATAAATTTATTTAAAGAGAAAATAACTATAATGATATAGCTAAAATTTTATATAAAAGTATAATTATATATATATGATAAAAGATTACTAATTATACATTTTATCCTATTTCGTTTAATGTTCTTTGATATCTAGGAAGTAAAAAAGAAAAGTTTTGTGCAACATAATCTAAAAGGAATAGTGAAGTATACAATTAAAAATTTGGATCTCTTTTCATAGGTTCTTACAGACATTTTAGTAACATTATATCCGTGTCACAGGGTATGAAAGACGTTGATATACAATCATTGACCGTATATCAATAAAGCTTAGTTATAATATATGAATTACTTCCCTATTGTCTTGCTGGAGGATTAAGTAACAGAAATGATGAAAAAATGTGTCCCAAAATAGATACAAATAAAAGAATCTCCCTATGGTTATGAAAGGCAACAACATCGTGTTTCATATTTTAATTCCGCAGAGAACATGTTGACAGCTTTTTTTCCTGTGTAAATCGGTTTTTTCTATAGGAAAATAGTGTCAGTTTGGCTTCAAAGTTTTTCTTTGGATTAAATATTTATTAGGCTTTTAAATTTTAAATATTTTATCTACTGTTTGATATTGACTTTATTTTCAGAAAAAATATTTATTCAGAAATTTTATAGTGGAATACTCATATATATTTAAAATGAAATATAATACCAAAAAAAAGAATCAGATTGAAGTTTACATAAACTCATCTTAGTTTTCTCATATTGACAAGTAGAAAGTACACACTTGAAGATAATAATTATTTAGTTGTTGGTCAAACGGAATAAAAACAAATGCACTGAATATTACTCATAAGAATACACTCATAAATACTACAACGAAGAATTAACTTCTTTTTGTATCCTAACATCTATATATACTACAAAAAACGTATTCAATATCAAAATATCTTATGTTTAAAACATGTTTACTATTGCATCTTTCTAATAACACATTTCCAATTAAAAAAAACCTATTGATTATAAACAAAAATTTTCGCTAATTACAAATCAGTAAATAAAGAATATGATTTCTCAATAGAGTGTTAATACTAAACACAATACAAAACAATAAGTAAAATACGAAGAATACGTTTGCAGAAAGAAAAAAAATTACATAAAATCTTGATTACTATTTTTTCCATATTAACGAATAGTGCAAAAGTTCTGGATTAGTTTTCTTTTCAGTATTGCATGACAACAAATCATCGTTGAGATTCAATAGTTTCTTTGTGAGTTTATCTACAAAGCTGAGTAAAAATATTTCGGTCGAAATACTTGCCTAAGGCTGAAAAGACTTAAAAACATGTTTCATTGGAAATGTCCTTTTCAACTTTACAAAAAGCAGTGATGAAATTTGCGTTTGAACAATTTGTCTTGCACTTGGCTATCTAGTGATACCAAAATATTCAATTTCCGAAATGACAGGTTCTATAGAACAGAATGCTATTAAAATTTTGATTTTCTCTTTAAAATATCCAATGGAATTTTTCTTATAATGTTAACATTGAAAAACTGCTTTTGTAATGAACTCATTGAACTCTATTTAAATATAAACTTGTGATTTCACCAACTTCGGTTGCTGAAAAAAATCGTACGTTTCGAAGTTATTTATTATTTGTGAACGTTTTTTGTTAGTAAATGTCGTTAGAAAAATGTCCACTTCGAACTTAAATAATGACTTGAAAATTATATTCTTATTTGCCTAACATGCCTTATGGTAGTTTTACAAAGCCCGATAAAAAATAGGAAATAATACTAACTTTCTTACTCGATGAATGTTTCCTTCTAAATTCTTGAAGTGTACAGAGAACTTTTCAGTCTTCGATAGATATTTTGAAAGAAATGTTTATTTTTTTTACACAACTTTGTTATCGAGACTAATAAGACAACTGTCGAGTCTGCACGACCAAGTGTTGTTACACTAAACTAAAAACAAAATAAAGTTATCATCATAAATTTATGATTATAATATAATTGTTATGGTAATTCATGTAAAAATCTTTCAAAGTAACATCAATATTAACCTGACGATGCGTATATTTAAATTGAAGTAGTGATGGGTACTACTGAATGAAATATTGATGTAATCATAGATTGATCTGCATATATAAAATAAGGCTAACTATGAAAATAATCCTCATCAAGTGTCACAAAGATAAGAAAAAGAGATTTGAAATATTATAGAGAAATTTCAACAATTGCTGAGAAATTATATAAAAATTCTTATGATTAGGTAGACTTCTACATTTTCCATACACTTAAAACTTCATTTATCCATAAAAATATAAAAATTTTTAATATTTTCGTTGTTTTCTAAGAATTTCTGGAATTTCCTATTTGATTTCCGTAGAGTTTCTTTATTATAAACCGATAGTAATAACGGAAGTTCCCAAGGTATTACTTTCTAATGCTTTACTGATTTCAAAAATGTCTTTTCTTGCTAATTTAAACATCACTGAGCATTAATATTTAATCAGTTATTATTGAATATGTATCTAGTCTACAAATGTTTACAGACGACTGAAAGATATTCATTTAAATCTTTTATACAATAGATTTCTTCTGATAAAAATATTAAACAGTTCTTTAAGAATGACATATTTCTATAATTTTTTTTTCGGAGTTTCTTTATCGAGTGTTCATAAATTTAAACATAATTTATTTCAACCAATTATTTGAAAATTCGAAAGTTGTCAAAAGAAAACATTAAAAATATGAATATTATTTTTGAATTAAACTAGATGAACCAGCAACGATCAGTATGTTTTTCTTACATATTCTTAGATCGAACATTTTATAAATAATTAGTAAATATTCATAATTAGAAGTAAAAAAAATTCAGAAAAACTTGGCGATTTTATTGAGTAATAATCAATCATAATCAATTACTGGAAGGAAGGACTGTACACTGTTCTCAATTTCATAGTCTTTGCTGACTTTTTCTATGAGACTAAATGAGTTCAAATGTAAAAAGAAAAAATCACAATCAATACTATCTTTAGTGTCGTATTATTTAGACATTTTTAAAAAATAAACTATATCAGTATTTCGTTTTAAAAGTCGTTTCTAATTATGCGATGTGCAACAGCATGTTCTCTGAATACGAAAATATTAATATTTACATACAACGGAGTATAAGATTTGCATCAACATTTCAATATCACATGCTTTTTCTTTTACATTGTAAATAGTACTCTATATGACCTTTTGGAATTATTAGATATTAACAAGAACTGTTATTCAACTTCAAGATAAAAGTTTATCAAACCATGATACATTTTAAGTATTTTCATAAAAAAGAGTTTATGTTGATTCCCATTGAAAAGACAGGTTGTAATCAAATATTATCTTTCTAACTTTGAATACATTCTTCAATCAAAAAATAATGGAATACAAACATACAATCAACATAGGATGTTAGAATTGTTTGAAACAAATTCTAGTAACGTATTTTTCAGTAAGACAGTATTACACCGATTGTAGTCTGTTTTGTTGTTTGAAAGAGCAAAATTCACACAGTCAAACAGATTAGCACATATTAATGTTAAAAAGTTTTTCCATCGAAATATAAATTTAGCTGAAAAAATTTCATTTTGAGATTAAGAACAAATGAATTTTCTAGGATCGATTATATACAATAAATCAGGTACAGTCTGTTAATTTGACATTAAATATTATTGTCAAATGCATTTTGTTCAAATGTTTGAAGATTGTCCTTCTTTTAAAGAAGTGAAAATATGACATTGCACGGTTTACAAGCAACTAAAAATATTTGTTTCGTTGTTTTTCTGAACTCTATTATATCAAAATAAACTTAAAGTTGACGTGACATTACATGAGAGCAAAAAAAAATGAGTCCTAACATTTTTCAC